GCGATCCTTGTAATATACTCGATTCACTCTCCAAACCCAGGGTAGAGATTGTGTCCTTCAGCCCAGGGCGCCTTCTGATCCTTATGGTTGTGCTTATTTACGCGTCATATCATGCGCGACACCGTTCTGGTTTCCCTAGAGAAAGGAAGGCCTTAAGGCCGTGCGCCCACCATTACATCACAGGCTTAAACTTGGTCTAGCCAATTTAACACATAAAATTCACCATCACAGAGAGTCATGTTTTCCTGTAATTGGTAGATATTGGTGTCCCACTGTCCTTTGCTAGTTCTATCTCTAAGATAAGCTTTCTTAAACTGTTTAGTATTCCATTGATTTCTTGCCTGGGACTCTTCATACTGGTAGAATGAAGAAAATAAGGAACCAAACAAAAAGGAAACCCCTTCTGTCCCAATAAAGATACTCTTTGGTCTTTAGCCATCTTTATGGTCATCAGTCCCTCAAAACTATGGTTCTAGATATTTCTTTGTCCTGTAGTATCTTGCTTTGCTGGTCATAGACCAGGGAAAATCCCCTCACTTCTGCCCAGGAATGGATCTATTCATGAGCCAGTCACCTGGAAGCCTATCTGAGATGGAAATGTGTCAAAAGAGGTTTTAGGAGATAGTTCCTGTCCCATTGTGAGGTAATTATATTGCTTTCTTCCCTTACCTTTACCACATCTTCACAGGGGCCAATCCAGAGACGGAAATTTCTGTAACCTTTCTCTTGTATTTTACCAAACTATTACATCTTGAAACCACTACACTTTAATATTTACAATTTACAGAGGGATAAGTTAATGGACTTTGTTTATTTGTCATTAAGTCAGAACCAACTCATAGTTGACCCTCCAGCAGGTTTTCAGAGGCTCTAAAATTGCACAAGGAGATTGCCCATCTTTCTACCACCAACAGAGCTCCCTCCAGCCTTTAGAGAACACATAATTAAAAAACAAAAACAAAATGAAAAACAAACAAAACAACCAAAAAAAACACAAGAAGCAATGTTATTAGGATTCGGTTTGGTTTAACAGCATACACTGCACCAACAAATCCTGGAGACATGGCATTAATTCTAAAGTGCATTGTTTTATAGATCCAGGATTTGTAAAGGAAAACCTGTTGATTTCTAATCCCTGTGAATAAAAATTCCTGAATGAAAACCTGAGTTGTGTTCACTCAAGAGGTGAAAATAGGATGGTCCCCCTACTTAGGCAGAATGGATCCCTAACACCATATTTAGTTCAGAAGTCAAGATTGATTGATGACATTACACCTGCACCAAGAGAGTACAAAAAGGTTTGTTCCATACATAGACTTGCTGGAGAGACCACAGCACACTTTCAAGTTGATATGAAAATGACGAGTGCCCTTTCCCCTGGCTAGGCGCGCGGAGGCCACAAAATGCCTGAAGTGACTGTAAAAGAAGTGAACCAGCAGGAGTTTGTCAGAGTTCTGGCAGCCTTCCTCAAAAAGTCTGGAAAACTGAAAGTCTCCAAATTGGTAGACACTGTCAAGCTGGCCAAGCATTAAAGAGCTTGCTCCCTACAATGAGAACTGGTTTTACATGCGAGCTGCTTCCACCTGTACCTCTGGGGTGGTGCTGGGGTTAGCTCCATGACCAAGATCTACAGGCAGCAGAGAAACGGCTTAATGCCCAGCCAATTCAGCCGAGGCTCCAAAAGTGTGGCCTGCTGGGTTCTTCAAGCCCTGGAAGGGCTCAAATTGGTGGAAAAAGACCAAGATGGGGGATGCAAACTGACACCTCAGGGACAGAGAGATCTGAACAGAGTCGCCGGACAAGTGGCAGCTGCCAATAAAAAAACATTAGAACAAGTGATGCTGGGTTAATAAATTGCCTCATTCATAAAAAAAGAAAAAGAAAACAGCTTAAGTGTCTGGAGGAGTTTTAGCTTGGAATTTTATGAAGGTTAGGCAATGAAGTGAAAGTCCTACAGTACCTATCAGGTACAAAACACCTTTTCACACCCTCTATATTACAACACCAAGAAAAAGGATCACTCAGGTTTTCTTCTCTTCTTGTCCAGATAAAGGGCTAAAGAGGAAATGAGGTGGAACTTGAGAGCTACCAGGACTTAGATTAGATTCCTAGCTACAACCAGGAGAAGATAACATAGATGAATGGGACCTTCTAAGACTCAAATCCCTATGCACATCCAAAAACTTCTCCAACAGGGTAAAAAGGGAAGCCACTGACTGGGAAAAAGTATTCGGTAATA